CCTTGGGGCCCAGCTTACTGCAGGGAGAGAGAGAGAGGGGTTGTTCAAAATTGTAGACTTTACCTCAGAGTCAAACTTCACTGAGCTTCACTGCCTCCACATGGTCTCTGAGAATGAAATGCTATGATCTGGGTCTCAGAATCAGAAACGGTTTATTGCCAAGTATGTTAAACAAATGGAATTTGGCTTGGTAATTGGTGTGTGATAATAAACATACTAAACATAGTAAAAGACGTGTGTATGACACCAAAACCAGAGGTGTGCCCCTTTCAGTTTAAGTGACTTCAATAAGTGCATTGAACCATTGTGGATACAGCCCATGTACCTCACCTGGTTATGAAGACATCCTCTCTGGTTAAGCCATGTTTGGGCAAGAGCTCCTTCAAGGCTCGGCCCAGGTCAGCTTCATTGCGGTAGACGGCTGCACTGTCAAAGGCCCGATAACCAGCAACCAGCGCTGCGTCCACAGCCCCGTACACTTCTTCACGACCCACCAACTTGTAGGTCCCCAAACCCAGGAGGGGCATCGGAAGCCCTGTATTTAGGAGGACAGGAGGTGTAGAGGACATCTGATCTGAGAGACACTTCTTATTTCTGTACCGTTGGTCTACCCAACACTGTTAAAGAGGGAGAGAGGGTTGAGTGAGAAATAAAGGAGAGATTTTCTTCTTTACAGAGGAAGGTCATAGTGTTGTGATGCAGCAAATGAGTACCAATGATGCTGCAAATTTCTGGTGTTAGACCGCTGAAACGGTCGTAACATTAGCTGTTAGTACAGTGTTACAATGAAGACACTAGGAGTAGGCCTACTATGTGACAGCGTGTAGGCGCGTTGTTAATTAACTTACAATACCATATTATGGAGTAGGAACGCCATCAGGATGCCATCGTTAACAATAAATAATATTTTCATCTCACCTTTTGGGTCTTTTCAGCTGAATTCCTGCGAGGACTTGTTGCGTATTCACAAAGCGATACTTAATAAAAAGTCACGAGCTACAAAAAGGCAAAAAAAGCATCTAACACCACTCTCTCACCGAGGAGTGTTTACAACTACCACTTCCTGCTACGCGTGGTCAGCTGACATTCATGTGACATGTTGGGGGGGTGGTTTTTCCTCCGTTACCATAGTGACACCTGCTCTGACGCCGCTGATTGGAAGAAGATCTAGCTAATCATTGAAGGCCCACCCATCCGGAAGGCGGGAATTCGCCTCTGTCCAGCGAATCTCGAGCCGAGTCAGGCGTTTGATTGACGGCCGCGGTATTAACCGTTAATGTCCCGTTGGAGGCTGAAGTTAGCTTGCTGGAGGACCCACCAATTTCATGCTCGCCATTTCCTCTAGATAGTACGGTAATTGTAAGAGAGCGCGAGAGAACCAAACATTTCTGAGCCTTTAGAATAGTAAAGAGTTATAGTATACTGGTGCTCGCTATCTAGCTAAACCAATGCAACATTTCCAGTAAGTGTTGACATGTATTCTGTGTTTTGGTTGTCCTCCATCAATTAATATATGAATCTGTTTATGTCCTGATTGTGTTGCCCAAACCACATTAGGTCAGTCATGCCACTGCAGGCCTTCTCCTTCCCTTTCCCTGAAACTCGATTCTTCAAAGCTGGTAGTTTAATCTACAAATTCAAGATCAGAGGAGGCAGCAGCTTCAGGCAAGACAGACATTGTTCTTAACACCTTCACAGCCATGTCTTTATACTTAATATATGTTTACCCTTTTGGTGAGAGCAAGAAGTATAACACAAGAACAAGACCAGACCACTGGCAAATCAGTATAGACCATGACAGAATAGATAGGGTGTCATCCCAAAACCCAGCTTGAGATAGGATTTAGTCGTGGAAGTAAGGCTAGCAATTACATGTTTATAAAGCAGCTCTAGTTGCACATCTGTGATTTTTGATGAGCATTCTTCAATGCATCACTGGAAATCAGTTTAAGTAGCTTGACGGAAATAGGAAAATACTTGAAACAGAGGAAAGGCTCTGGATCAGAGCCGCTACAGACTTGAGTAATTCTTTTTTTCTTTTCTTCTTGAAAGCAGAGCAAAACAGCATGAGCTCAGAATCCTTAGAACAAACATACACCAGCGAGGGAAGGACTATTGATCAATGTCAGACCCACTCTTGGCTCCTTCAATGCTTCCCTTTCCTTTTCCTCCTCGAGATTAAATTCTGCAAAGAATTGCACAAAGTTCTTTAATCTCTAAAGTCGGGGAGATGACTGAGCTACAGGCAAGAGAGAAGGCATTGATCTTTTTTCTCCATTTCCTATAATGGCTACTGTTACACGTTGTGATGTGTGTTACCTAACCGATCCTGGAGTTCATTTAAACTTCACCTATAATAGTTCTGACACTCAAGGATTAGTGCTCAACAATCAAAGTACTGCATCAGCAAAAGGCCTGATGTGTAAAAGGTTTTATACAGTTATCAGCTTTACAGCGTTTGGAAAAAAAGTTACCAAAACTCGAACTGCTAATGTTGTATAACAATATGATAATGTGTGTATTTTATATTTCATCAGAGGAGAGGAGGTTATGGGAGAAAACTACTTCCATCAGGAGCTGGAGGTATTTATGGAAACTTTTCGTGTGCTTAGTCAACATTCACGTTTGTTGTGTTGACCCACTGTATTAAATTCTCTTAAACTTGTTCTCTCACTTTCTCTTCTCTGTTGTCAGGACATTTTCAGGACAGTTCTTGGCAACTTGGACAGTCTCCAACCCTTCTCTAGTGCCCACTTCAGTGTCTTCCCTTGTATCCTCCAACACTACTGATCCTCTACTTGCACTCCATTATGATGATGCTCATTCACCAGCGGTTTACTGCGTTTCGTTAACTGTAACTACCAGATAAGAAGCCGTGGGAGGGAGCGTCGGAGGTGATGTGCACACAGGGTGAGAGGAGGCTGAGAGCTTACCCGTTTAGTCTCATCCTCTACCTGGAGAAAAACACACAGAAGGGTGAGGATGAAAAAAAACTCACCGCTTTCTCAGTTGTGTTCACGAAACACATTCTGCACTCAAGGCATTACATGTTATCAGTAAAAAATGCTCAGGGCTTTACAGGCTGTATGGCTAAGATGCTATTCAGACATGCCGATGCCTCACATGTATTTATCTTGCAGAAGGAGCAAAGCAAGCAGCGGAGAAGTTGAGCCCAGTGAGTTGTTCTGTTACTCTAACAAAACATAGTGAGAAAAGTAATCCCGGCTGGAGTGTTCAAGTATTTTTTACTGTCAAACTGTCTGGTCTGATATGACGTATGTCAACAACAGCCCAGATTGCAGTGCCAGACATGAACCATGTATTTGAATCAACACCTCTCTGACAATAACAATAAGAACTGAACATGACCAAACCTCACAGGGCTGTTATATTGGATTGTTTTGTATTAAATGATCTGGTGTCCAACCCCACGTCATGTGTCATGTACAGTGCACCACTGCATGTTTTCTAGCAGAAAGACGTTGCACAGCGATTCCCGTCTGTGTCTGAGCCCCAGTCAAAGCGCCGGAGAAGAGATTCACCACTAGAGGAGGCCATCCTAAAGGACTTACACAGGGACATGGAGGCTGAATGCAGCGTTTCTGTGGTTAGGTGAGCGCTGTCTTTACTACTGTAGAGCTTATATGTAACCTTAAGCTTTTTACTCTGTGTTTGACTACAACCATGACTAAATGTTTCCAAAATCTTTGGAAGTAAAGGGGTGTACTGAGTAAAAACCTACGCTGTGGACACAAAAATGGTCACATGTGAATGTGTGATTAAGTGTTTTAGAAGTGAATGAATGTGTGACAACAGAATACATTTATTCTTACTATCACTAACACATCCACTCTGACTACTGCCCTGTTTGCGCACACACACACACACTCACACACACACTGACATGCTCCAGTGATCTTTGCGGTTACGAAACAGACAAGAGGCTGACGGGCGCCACCTCAATCACACTGACAGTCAGATCAGTGGGGCGAAAATTATGACTTAAAATGCACACCCACCAACTTATGTAAACAGAATTATCTCATCGTTTTGAACTTGAGGAACACACACTCGGATGCACAAACTGTGTAAACATCCTGCAAGCAGCAGGGCCTCAAGCGATATCGTCAGTTCACAGGAAATCAAGGTCCATGAAATAACTCTCTTTGAATTATTGAATTATATTCACCACATTGGCCATTACACTTACATGTCCTCAGAAGGGTGCAAAACAAGTGTAGTACACATTTCTGTTTCACTGATGGCGTTCATTAGTGTGTGTGTGTGGTGTGTGTGCGTGTGTGTGTGTCTACATGATGCCCTGTATCGACAGATGGTTTGTTTTTTTGTTAAACCTCCTTTAAAAATGGGAACAGAAAAGAGTTTTCAATGAGCCAATGAGCACTCACACTTGTCAACAAAGCATCTAACTGACATTGTTGGTTTTGGCTGCAAAATCCGGCATTTTAATCCACCAACATGTAATTAAAGGCCTTTGCAGTCCATGCATTGTGAATCATGACACCCACCAATTACATATAAAACACTGAGATTCACAGTCAAGCAATGATTGTCATTGTTTGGCGTAACGTTCTTATTCCTACCTACAGTTATATTAGATACGATTGTTCTGATACACAAATTGTGTAGATTACAAATTTAAATTCTGTTAGAAACCAAAGGCCGGATGAATTTAGACAGAAACCTTAATGGCAGAATCTGATCCTGAAAAATGGACTGTATTATGAGAAACAATATTTAATTAACTTGGTTGTGTCCAACTTTCAGCAGGCTCCCTCTGCGTTGTCCACATGCACAGAGAGACGTCCAAGAGGATCGAGGACATGTTGACAAGGTGACTTATTTTCATTTATTCGATCAGGTCAGTCATTTACTCGTCACATTTAACCGCTTAACTGATTTGTCACAAATGGAGAAGTCAGTCATTTCCGCCCACAGTTTAGAATGAACTGATTCCAACAATTCTTCTTCCAACTTCAGTCTCATAATAGCCTTTCGTTTCCTCTCTGCCGCATATATAAACACACACGCTGGTAGCATCTCTGTCTGTACTGTAGCCCCAGGCTGACATTAGCGCAGACAGGTAGGATAACAAGTGTGATTAAGGTTAATAATAGCATTACATCAGACACAGAGTGTACGTGTGTTAATGTGTGTGTGTGTGTGTGTGTGTGTGTGAGAGTGTGTTCCTGGTGATGTGCTTCAGATTGATTAGCAACGAAGTCCCAAAATTACCCTCCGCTCCCTTCTCGTCCACGGCCTTTCCATCTCATCTGATCCTGTTTTTTTTTTGTTTTTTTTACACGTGTCCACTCTTTTTCCCCTCTCGTTTGTTTCAAGTGGAAAAAATGATTTAAACTAATTATGTCAGCCTGTTGAGTTACTTGTTTTTTCTGAGAAGGAAGTGCCAATACAGGTCTACGAGGTTTAAAAAGGATTGAGTGCGAACAATGAAGGTTCTGTCGGCACAAAAAAATTCAAGGGAAGCGTAGTCGAATGACAGATATTGGGTTATCAAATGGGCATTTTGATGGATTAATTCCATTCAAGTTCAAGCTCATAAAGACACTGAGGCAAATGGAAGAATCAAACTTATCCTTAGCTTAGCCCCACGAATCATAGCTAGTGTTGCTACGCTAAACTTTCCCTTCGACTTTAGACAGAAGAAGTCAAAAGTAGCCCTCTTATAGTCAGCGAGCGTCAATTCTACCTGCTGAACTGACAACTGTCAGTAGTATATTTTATTAGCCAGCAAACTAAAAAAAATAAAGCAGACCAACTTGCGAACGAGTTTTAGATATTCTTTCGATGGCTGTATACATAATAATCATGCTAACTCAGAAAAGACTTATCATATGCAAACTCCTTGCCTTGTAAGTAAGGCTAAGTTATTGCTATGGTCAGTAAGCTAGTTAGCTGGGAATGCTAAGGTTAGCAGGTTACACTACAGCAGATAAACATTGTTTACTTATACTTGTGCTCAAGACGTGACCATAAACTATTTTCATATGGATTATCGCTCTAACTACAGCCCCATGCACACCGCTTCATGTGGAGGAATACAAAGCTGCAGTAGTTACAGCTACAAAGCCATAGTTGAACAATCATTATTTGGTGGGAGGGGTGTAGCGAATGGTCAATTTAATTACATTTCCAGTACTGTAAAACATATTTCATATTCAGTTCTATTTTTAATTTTACTTTAATTTATGCTAATCCTCTCCCACAGAAAGGTTCCAGAGGGTTTGACAAACCCCGGCAGAAATCAGGTGTTAACACAGTCAGAGGAAGCGGGACTCCAGGTGAAGTGCATTCTGGGTCAAAACAGCACATGGGAGAGGAGGAGTGTGATGAGGAGGGAGAGTCTGATCCTGGGACACCTGTGAGGCCAGGGATGTTGAGTCGACTGGCCAGGTTGGTATGAGGTTCACGGCAGCCACACCATCAGTAGCTAGCATGCTACAAGCTAAAGCTGAAAAAATATACCCGGCAGCAGATCAGTAACTCGGCACACAGTAAGGGTAAGACTGATACCTTTGGACGCTGGTGATGTCACTGTAGATTTGATTCAATTTTGCACCCACAGGAGAAGCGAGGGCTAATTGGTACCATTCATCTGAAAGACAAAAGTTGACAAAGATTGAAATGGATTGGGGAAATCCAGCTATTATAAGCACGGAAATTACAATATCCCTGTGAAATGTCTGTTGAGACAAGCTGAGACGCCAGAGGCGCATAAAAGACTGACACAAGTATCTCCACGTTGACAGGGCACGCCAAGCAATCTTACGAATGTGGTCTCTTTATGGTAATAATGATATGCAGTAGCAGCCTTACGTGGTGAGCCCACTGTTGCATTAATCACATGTGTAGTTCTTACTCTGAGCTTACTCTGTCTCTCGCTCTCTCTTTGCAGCCATATCTTCCCCTTCTCCTTGTTCTTCAGAGAGCGCTGAGGGCCGTGGTAGAGAGACAGGAGGTGTTACTGGTTCCAGTAGTGGAAACTCACCGGGGTTTGTTTGGTCAAAGTTCTGCAGCGCAAACTAAAACATTTGTGATATCTTTTCTCGAGAATAGTACGGCGTAGACCTGTTTGCCTTTGTTTGCCTTCATCCTCCATTGATCATCTTTTATAATGGTGTCAGTGTTCACCTGTTGTTGACTTATCATTGGAGGGTCTGTTTTATATCTTTTTTGTTGTTGTTGTTGTTGTAGCTCTGTATTGATACCATAAGCAAATAAATATAGATACTTCTTTGTTTCCAGCGGTTGTTTTTGTGATTTCATGTTGTTTTGTACCATTATGGATGGAGTCCTTTTTCGCTACTACCTGCAGTAACTGGATCCTCTCTTTCTTACCACCAAATCAGTGACTTCATAGATGACTTCTTCTTCTTTTCATCCTCCAAATAACACAAACTATACAGCAGTGTGTCTTTTATTTAATTTTTTTAGAGTTAAACTCTGCGACGTTTAACTCTCCTTTCATGATCTGTGACCCCATCTGCATTTGATTTCTTTTCTTAAACTCAGTTTCCAGTTGAGAGAGCTCCGTCTCTTTGTCTACACTTATCTACACACTGCTGTATTCATGTTTGTTCTTCTTTTTTAATGCAGTTTGGGGATTTCTTATGTAAAATGCGAATTAGCAGGAAACAATTTAATCCAAATGTTTACATCCTTCCTCAGTAGACTGTCAAATGAACAGACAACGCCGTCTCTTTCTTAACATTTCCACTACTGTGTGTGTTCTCATAAGAGCACACCTTGAGCTTCAGTGAGTATCACCTTGTGGAAACTCCACTTTCCTCCTGTCAGTCTAAATTAGCAAAGTGTTCTATCTTTGTGTGTGTGTGTGTGTGTGTGTGTGTGTGTGTGTGTGTGTGTGTGTCTGTCTGTTCCTGCATGCACGTGTCCATGCGTGTGTTTGTATATGGGGGTAAATGGGTCAACTGGACTGAAACATTGTCTTAGAAACAGGAAAACTTTGCCTAATCCTCTCCTTATATTGTCATAGCGCCTCAAATAACACACACATAATCTTATACTCACATCTACTTACACACTTTGACCACACACACAATATCCTGTCAGACATAATCATGCACACACATATAGCACTTGAAATAACAGACACACACACACACACATACATCATATACTTTCATTCTCACACACACACACTGAGAATAAAATAACAGGGCAGAAGTGGAAGCGGACACATTAATGATATTATAGTTATTCAAGACGCCACGGTTTCCACGGCAGCCGAGAGCGACGGGGCCACAGAGCGATACAAACATCGGTCACCCCACTGAGTCACACTGGAGCAGTGTGTGTGTGTGTGTGTGTGTGTGTGTGCGTGCGTGTGACTGTGTTCATTTTGACTACGAGAGTCTCCAGTTTAAAAACTTCATTCACGTCTCATTCTCTCCTGATGAGGTGCTGTAGGCCACTCAGATTTGTAGTCTCTCTCTCTCTCTCTCTCTCTCTCTCTGGTTGGCATGGAATCAGAAGAAACACACTGCAACTTACAGTCAACAGACTAATAGTTTTGTGTGTAGGTGGGGGGGTTTGGGTGATGATGTCACACATTCCGTTTTCCATTGACATAACTAGATTGGGAATGTTTGGGATAGAGGGGCCATAAGATGATAATTGTGTTTTCCTTAGAAGGTGTGTCTGTGTGAGTGAGTGTGTGAGAGTGAGAATGGGAGTGTGCAGCGCGGGAAGCCGTAGCATCTCTCCTGGATCAGTAATTAAATGAGCCCTGCAACCTGTTCTTTCTGAACTGGTATTAAGAGATTTTAATATTTTGTTCTGAAATGCGTCATTAAATATCCCTCAAGTAGCTTAATGTATCTACAAAGCGGCATCGCGTTCATGCAACCGTGGCAATGTTTGCTTGTAGCTTCACGTTAGCTTTTTACTTCTGCCGATTGCACTCACACGTTACAAATTATAAACGTGGTGTTCATTCCTGATGATTATCGATCTGAAAACAAACGTGTAAGTATCATAAACTTGCATTTGTTGCAATAATCCAAAATCCAATGGAAAAGTCCCATTTGCTTAAAGTCGAGGGAACCACTGTGATGCTAACTTCCAGGGTTGGCCTAAAAACATATGTAGTCCCTGCAGCACTGTATTAGTTCTTACTGAGGACATCTTTAAAAACTGGTCCCAAATATACGGTTTCGTTTTTATTTATTTTTTTAAGAAACCCCGCTTCTTTCCTGAAATAGCAGTAAATGGTGGATTTGCCGGGAACTATTTTCAGCGGTGGATTCATTCACATTTGGTGCTCCAGTGAGTATTTACAGTACAGCAGGGTGTATGTGGAACTGACTATAAATGAACTACAGTGTGTGTTCATGGTAATGAAGGAACACACTACCCAGTGTAACAGTGTGGCTCATTGATGTGTTTTTAACGGTTTTTGACAACAATAGAGCTCTATGGTACAGGAATACGATATATATCGGGCTTTGGCTGAATAGGAAACATAATAAAGTGGGAGAAATTCATTGTATGTTTGTTTTTTTTAATGGGATTTGTTGGCAATAAGTCTTTATCTGTAATTGACTTGAAGTCAAGTTTAGTTTTTGGTTTGGTTTTCTTTAAACAAGGGAAACATTTTGCCAGCACAGTTGAAATAATCAAATGTTTTTCCAAAGCAAATCCACTCAAATCAAATTGATTTCTAGTGCGGTGACATACCTTATTCTCATCATTCTCACTCACTTCTAGAAAAAAAAAAGCATATTCTTTTTTTCTTTTTAATTCACTTGTTCTAAGACAATCAGGTTTTAGGACTTTTATTTTTTTTTTTGCAGTGGAGAAATAATCTTAAAGGCATCAAAACCTATCGTTTCCTGGATGAATTACTTATTACACTGCTTTTCTTCCGGGAAATGTTTGGTGGGTTCAGCTTTTGTCATTTCAGTTGATCAAAGGTCATAACGAGCATCTGCAGTTTGTATTTCTGAAGGAAAGCTGTCCTGTGATGAGCTGCTGAGTCTGATTCAGGATATGAGACAGATGTGGAGCCGCTGCCGTAGCTGAAAACATACAATAAAACAGTGATGATCACTGCTGGGATCCAACCAAAGCACAGTTACTTAAAAATAAATGCACTGGTTCACCTCCCGCTACTGTTTTGCGACTGATTTTATGATATAGTGACGTCCTTGACTTCCTGAATCAATTCTCCTGGAAGTTTATCAAGGTCTGTCAAACAAAGATAGTTTTTGGAAAGTCAAGTCGTTTACTTTTATGGCCCAATATCACGAGGATCTAGTGTCTCAGTGGGCTTTATAGGATTCCCAACCCAGCCCAAATTCTCTCGGGACACATGGCAAAACTCATCGACGTAACCTCAGGAGACTCTAATTCGTGCTGTTCCAGTAAGTAAGACATTTGTTCCTTTAACCCTGAAACCCAGTTTCTTGTGGATACTCACCACAAGAGAACAAAGGACATCCATTTTGTGTCTTTGGCAACACTTTACAAAGTCCTCTGCGGTGACCTTTGTGACCTTTGTGACATGTCACCGAAGTGTCCAAGAAACAGCTGCAAATGTCCAACAAATCATGTAAGAGTCCATTAAAGGGATGTCTTTACCCGCTGTAGTTTGGACAGGGTGGTTGCTAAGCTGGCTTCCTCTACGCAAGACAAGAAAGACGAGAAGCAGAGCCAGGCGTTCTCCACAATATACCCATCATGTGCCACACACACACACACACACAGAGTTGACCCAAACCCACAATATCTTCTGACCCGACCCTGTCCTTCCTCCTGCAGCCACAAATGGAAAACCCAGGCAGACTTTGTGTGTGTGAGGTCTCCCATTCAGTGTATTTATTAGTTCACTGTATCAACTGGCAGCTGAGGCCCAGAATAAAAAAAGTTTTTGTGTGATTTTGAGCGCATGCATGCAAGGATACTTTCTTTGTGTGTGTCCCACGCTTGCGTCTGAATGCATGCGCGTGTGGTAAGGCTGTGTGTGTTCTCGCTATTGTGGTGGTGCGTTTAATGGAAAACCTATCTAGTTTTCCTCTGTGTCACAGCAGCGGTCCCCCTAAAGGTTGGAAAACAGAGAGCGGGGAGGGTGGATGGTGGAGGGGACAGAGAGACGGTAACACACTCCAGGAGAAAGACGTGAAAGTGAGAAGTGAGGCTTTTTTGATAATCTTTTTTTTTTTTTTTTAGATAATTTCACATTATTTTTGTGCAGGTAGAAGACAGAGAGATCTGTAGAAAAGCAGAAAAAAAAAGATTCACACACTCTCAACTCTCTAATTGTGGGTGTGTCCAGAGCTATAAGTGCCTTGGCTCTTACCTGTGTTACTTATATCCCTGCATGAGGCTCAGAGCAGTCACACTCACACACACCTGTCAGTCGCCACGCATGTCCTGCAATCCAGAAGCTGCACTCTCCGCTTCACGTCTTCAGGTAAGACTCAGCTGCTATTTACACCTGGAATGAAGTTTAGTGCATCAGTCTACATGTTGGTGGAATAGACCTTTAAATGCTGGTTCTGTGACATTTAGGCTGTGGTCTTCAGATTGCTGCTTTCTTATAGAATTTAGGTTTTGAGTTTTTGTATATACGAGGAGACTTCTGTTCCTCCAGTAAGTAATTGTCAATTTGGGGGAAATGCACTTTTAACCCTTTTATTTCTCCTTATGTTTATTTACATTCTCATTCTGCAGACTTTTTACATTTATGTTTATATTAATAATAATATTACCACATTTTGCAAACGTGTAAATGGTCCATATTAAGAATATTTACCTGCACACGTTTGTTTGTTTTTATTTTGAAACAGCTCACTACTTTGCTGACTTTGACTTTCATGACAATATTCATATTTGTAAAACACAGCAATATTTTTATTTAGATGGTGGACTATATATATAATTAAAAGAAAACACCAAACAGTGACAGATGAGACAAAACGTGTCTCCTTTGAGTATTTTTATAATGTATTTTTTCCTGTTATTAAGGCTGTAACCATTTTACCTGAGCACAGTAGAGGTTTCAGGTTCTGATGTATAATGATGCAGATGGTCCAATACAATAGCAATTTTATAAATTCTATTTAAAATAAGATCTTCTACTGCAACTTGTTGGTCAGTACCTGATCTATGAACTAAATTATTCAAAGAACGTAAACTACATTTGAGAGAATAGAGGGTAAATTGAGTGATTTACATTGAAGAAATTCCACCTCATGTCAAATGATGTTTAAA